ACATGACTTATCACGTGACGTCACATGACTTATCACGTGACGTCACATGACTTATCTTGTGACGTCACATGACTTATCTTGTGACGTCACATGACTTATCTTGTGACGTCACATGACTTATCTTGTGACGTCACATGACTTATCATGTGACGTCCAGCCCAGTAATGTAGACCAGTGCCTGTGTCTTTAGTCCAGTCCTTCTCTTGCTAAGTGCTGAACTAGTTTCCTTCAGACTAACCTAAGCTGACCTCTCTGCTGTCAGACGACTTCAGTCGGGTCAAGCTGCTGTCCATGCACAACGATGAAGGTGCAGACTACATCAACGCCAACTACATCCCTGTGAGTGCCTTCAGCTGTGGAGTCATCCTCAGTCTCATGGTTTTACTAACCCGGCCACCGGGTGGTGCTGTTTCTTTTGTCTCATGTTCAGGGCTACAAACACTCCAAGGAGTACATCGCCACTCAGGGTCCGCTTCCCGAGACCCGCAATGACTTCTGGAGGATGGTTCTTCAGCAGAAGTCACCGGTCATCGTGATGCTGACTCAGTGCAACGAGCGGCGGAGGGTGAGACGCTCCACAAACCTGTTTGTTGGTGAAAAGCTTTCTTTGATGATTTCTTTTACAGCAGAGAAATGTGAGCACTGAGCACTGAGGGACATGAAGAAACTGCTTCAAAAAACTTCTTTAACGTAATAAAACTGAAAGAAGCAGAACATGAACTAAAAGCTACATAAGAGGAACTGCATCAGAGTGAACGCTGAATCAGCAATACACAAAGTGGGTGTGGCCTTCCTCCCTGTTTTACACAAAACMACATTTTTATTTATGTCCCAGAACCAGCTGTGCCTCCCCATCTGAAGGAAACAGGTTGAGTTTACAGAGTGTGAAGGTACCTGTCAGGTCCATGAAATACAACAAGTCAAAGAAAATATGTTTATATTTAAGAAACGTGACATAAWACACATGATTTGACCCGTTATGTCACATAACTGGCACATTTTCTTTTGACCTTGGCTCAGTTAAAGTGAAACAGGAAGTGACATCACAGGGAACTCTTTAAGAAAAAAACAGTTTTTTTAATGAAACATTATTTTTTGAGCTCTGACTCTTTCTCATCTGTCTATGATAGGGATTAAAATAATCTAAAGAAACATCAGATTATTCTCTACAGTCTGTGCTGTCAGCCATTTTAGCAATGCTCTGTTCACATGCAGACATTCCCCTGTGACATCACTTCCTGTTTCTTTACATCTACATTTCTCAACAACTGTTCATCTCAGCGGTGTGAAATCTTTTTTACAATATATAATCAATGTTATCTTTCCAAAAATACATTCATAGTTATTATAAAAAAAATGATGTCACAGGTCCTTTAATATTTACTTATTTAAACTAATGTTTTAGTCTGATTTAGTGTTCATGCTTTGTCCTTTACTGTTGTTTCCAAACGTGTTCCATCAGTCACAGAAAGCCTCAGTAAATAGGGTAACTTATCAGAAAAATTACCATTTACTGTACACACACACACACGCACACACACACACACACGCTTATTTCTGAATTCATCCATTCGCCCTCCTTTCCCATTTTCGTCAAGCCACGCTTCCCTTCCGAAGCGGTTAGATTTTAACCTCCACTCTTTATCCATCACTCTATCTCTTCCTCGCTCACTGTTGCCGTATTTCCTCTTTTTTTTTAAATCTCTCCTCTTATCTGTTCTTTTGTTCTTCGCTCTTGATATCTCCCTCTCTCCATTTAATCTCCTCTCTTTGTGTTTATCGCTCCCTTCATCTTTGTGCTACTTTAAACACAACTTGTTTACACACACACACACACACACACACACACACACACACACA